TCCAGTGGTTCTGTTATGTGAAATGACAGGGTAGAAGTGTTCCATGAGATCATGGAAAATTGAGCACCTGAATCTGAGTTGCACACCTCAAAAATCAATATTTTAACCAATGGATTCCCAACTTACTGGCAATAGTCTGTTCTGCTTATATACATTTCACCAACTTTACAATTGGAAACTTGTAAAAAAATTTCATAAGAATTTGCTTAAGTTAGTGTATCCTACATTTAGGATAGCTTTTGATGCAGTTGGGTGTTTCTGGTGAAAAAATAGCTCCATTGATAAACTTGCTACTTTTATCCCAAGCAAGAGAGAAGGCTGGTGGAAAAGCAAACTAAATGTTTTGAAACCTACTTTTGAGAACACTCAGGCCTGAACAATGTCTTTATTATGTAAGATATGAGAAGAAATAAGATATCTTCTCATTTTTTATTCTGTATGCCAACTGATTGTTTAAAAAAATACATTGTTCCTTTGTGACTCAAAAATGAATGGCTACTCTTTTTTCACTCTTTTCCTCCCTTGATATTATTGAAATAGGATCCTGCTTGTCGGTTAATCAAAGAATATGATGTCGAAGTGACTGAAATTATTTTTGACTACTTATTTTTTTCAACATGAATCCCTTCATCTATAAGTGGGAAAAAAAGGCAGAGCATTTCAATTGTGTCAGAGTATTAAATATCTCCTCTGAGATATATCTTTTTAACAGTTATTGTTCTATAGATAAAGCAAATTTGAAGACACCCTTGTTGTCAAGCAGATCTTTTTCATAATGGACGTATTTAAGTACAGCTATGTCTAAATGAAGGAGTCAGAATAGCTGGTTAATCATCTCAGCTGTACTACTGCTGAGTTGCTGCATAGCCTAGGGTCAGTCTCTAAACCTCCATGAACATTAATTTTATTCTCATTTCCTAAGAAGGGCCACAGCAAAAAGCTTTAAGATCAGATACTACAATGACTGATGTTAAAGAGAAGACAGATATAGAACAACTATGTCTGAACTTCTAAGTGGCAGTTAATTGATGTGTATTATTCATTAAGATAGATTATAATTACTTAAACTGCTTTTCTTCCAGGTCTAAAACCTAAGAAGAGATTAGATAATGATAACCATTTAGACACAAATACGGCAATATATCAACACATTTAAGTGTTAATTTGTAAACCTTTCTTCTGATGCTCAAGCTTAGAGAGCCTTTTTGGAAAGCTTTTTTTAACTGATCTTGTGAAATATCTAAGAAAATGCACCATGGGAAATATTTCTGTTCAAAAGCAAAGCTTTCATGCTGAAGCTTAAAAGAATGAATCCCCCAAATTCTAATCTGTGGTAAAAGTAATGTAAGAATATGGGAAAATACTTCTGTTATTGTTAAATCACAATTTATTTTGCCTGAAATATTTGCAAGTTTACACCCACTTTAACTTGTGTTTTATAATATTTAATTTATTCAAAATCTACTTCCCTTCCTATATTTTTTTTATACACCATAACATAATTCTTCTATTAAAACTTTGTTAAAAACATGCAGAATCAGAATTTGTGTGCATTTTTGTTAGAATGTGAAAAAAAAAAACCCTTGTCTTTAATTTTATATACAGTGCTTTTTTTGTAGTACATTTGCAGAGAGAAACTTATTATTCTGGAACTATGATTTGTTCCTAGAGAATATTGATGCCAACTTACTACTTTTTCACAGTTACCTCCAAGTCATTAGAAAGTGTTTTAAAAGAGGGGGCTAAAATTTAGAATGTATTAAATGTTCATGCTGCTGTAGAAGTTAATGAAAATATTTAACAATGTGTTGGTTTGTCTTTTTTATATATATAATTCATGGACTTTTTTAATATCTTTGTGTTGTGAAGTAGCTTCAAAAGATGTTTTACATTTAAGTAAATAACCCTTCAAATTATTTGGACATAGGTAACTTTTTCCACATTGTGACTATAGTGCTCATTATGAGAAGTAGTAGGTTAGGAGCACTAGAGAAAGAAGCTTTCTAGTTATCTGTAACATGGATATTATGTAGGTAATATGACTTTATGATTTGTTGCACTGTGTTTTCCACTCGCCATCTTGTTTTGAGACCTATCTGACAAGAAATGTATTTAATATGTACAGTAATTAATGTTCATTAAATTAATGTTCATTCTTCATTGTAAAGAACCAGTTAGAGATCAGTGTAGACATGGTCCACCTGTGTGGTTAACTTCAGACCATCTTTATATTCTCAACCTTTATATTGTCAAGTTACTTCAAATTAGGATTGTTTCACTTACTATTAAAATTAGAAAAACACAGCTTCTAAACAAAACATGTGACACTCCAAATAAGAGTGTCTCAGAAGTATGTTCTTCTGAAACCACACTGTGTCCACACAGGCATAACAAACATTCCCGACAGTGCAAAAAAAGTTGTACCTTCATCCTGCTACAATACCTGACTCTCCAGGCAGGCTTTCAGCTTTTGTAAGAGCTTCCAGAGTGGAACAAATTTTACACATATACCTTGCAGCTAGTTGAGGATTAATGAAAGATAGGTTTACACTGTTATTTCTCTTCTGACTTGTTTTCAATGACTAAAGTAATGAACTTCCTGAAAGCAATATACTGTAAATTGGTTGGTTTTCTCTCAGTTTGCAATTCACATTTGTCTATGGCAATGTCAGCAGTAACAAGCGTAATCACAACCACTAAACAGTTTGTTTAATTCAGATGAGATAAATGACATTTTTTTTCTCAAATACCAGAATTGCATCCTATCCTGCATGTTCTGAACCATAGACCTTCAACAGAACTGAAGATGCTCTGGACACCAATACTTGAGGCTATTCACCTAAAAAATAATTTAGCCAAAAGTCAAAGCTATCACCAGCCTGAGAAGAGTCAATGACCTTCACCAGGAAAGATGAGAAGCTAAAATTTCAGAGTCAGCTGATCACCCCTATGTTAAGGCTTCCCTGTTGGTAGCAAATGGCTTTGGAGCCTCATGCAAGGCTAGTCATTTGTGTCAGCTTGGTGGTGGTCTGGCTTTAGAAGCTGAAAAGCCAACACCAAGAGGTTATAAGGAAGACAGGGAATAAGTCAGTTTTGGGGGAAATTAATTAAAAATGACTGAGGCAATAATGAGAATACAAATTGGATGAATGAGTGGCTGTGCAGTACTCAGCTGCCCTCTGAGCTCAAACCACAACTGTCCTTTTCGGTGCCCAGTGTGGAACAGAGGAATGTGAGACATAAGTATAGTGATTGGAAAAAGTAGCTGACAAAACATGAACTGAAATCAGTTAGAAGAATGACCTTTGGAATTTCTGTTGTAACTGTGGAGAAGTTTTTGTGTGTATGTGGTGGAGGGATGAGGGTTAGATTTTGTATATTGCATATGGTATTGTGATATTTTTTGTTTTGATATGGAGTTTTTGGAATGTTTTGGTGGTTTTGTTAGTGTTCATGTAAACATAATGTGTAGTGAATGTGAATTTTAACAGTAATTTTTAAGTATGTGAATCACAGAGGTGAGGGGTAGAATGTTCTGGGTTTGAGTGAGTGGCAGGGGGTTTTGGTAATAGGGGAGGGAGCTACAGCATTGGCCCCTGTGAGTAGCTTCTTGAAGCTCCCCTGGCTCTACATTGGACACGTCTTTGCACCAAGGCCAGGCCAATTAGCTGCACCTCTGTGATAAAGTATTTAAGAAAGGGAATCTGTGAGGAGGAGCTTGCGTTGTGAGAAGTTGCAAGAACATCTGTGTGAACACTGAGATCAGTGGAAGAAAGGAGGAGGAAGGGGGAGAGGTGTGCAGGAGCAGAGACTCTCCTGTATACCCTGGTGAGATGTCAAGGCTGCCCTCTGCCACCCATGGGGGTCTACTGTGAAGTAGAGGCCTACCTGCAGCCTGTGGAGGACCCCAGACCAAAGCAGGTGACTGCACCTGAAGAAGTCTGGGACTCTGTGGGAAGAAGAAGCTCCTGTTGTTGTAGTTCAGTGCTGGGAGGATTACAACATGCAGCTATGGAAATATTGTGGGCCATGGAGGGACTCATGTCACAACTGGTTTGTGGAGGACTGTCTCCTGTGAAAGGGGAACCATGCTGGAGAAAGGTAGGAATGGCAGAAGTTCCCCCTCACCCCAAGGTGGAAGAGGGGAAAGACTGACTGCACCCTCTATTCCCTGCCCCCTGTGCTGCTAGGAGGAGGAGGAGGTAGCGATATCAGGAGCAAAGCTGAGCCTGAGAAGAAGGGAGGGGTGGAGGAAGGTCTTTTTAAGATGTGGTAATGCTTCTCACTGTCCTCTGTTGTTATTCTTGTTAGTGATGGTGCTAAATTTATGTGGGTTTTTTCTTCCCCTAACAAATCTGGGTTTTGACCACTACCATAATAAGTGAGTCATCTTTCCCTGTCATCTCAATTCCTGAGCCTTTTGCTTTATTTTCTCTTTCCCAGCACTGCAGGTGAAGGAGGAAGCAAGCAGCTATGTGATGCTCAGTTATCTTCTGAGATCAAACCACTGAACTTTTTGCTTTATTTTCTCCTTCTCACCGCTGCAGGGAAAAGTGGGGGTGAGTGGCTGTGTGGTGGTCACCCTATGAGCAAAAACCACAACAAAATAGCATGGGGAATAAACAAGAGGAGATACAACAAGGCCAAGTGCCAGGTCCTGCACTTGGGCCACAACAACCACCTGCATGGCTACAGGCTTGGGGAGGTGTGGCTGGAGCTGTGTGGGAGAGAAGGATCTGGGGGTTTGTACTGGGTCTGGCTGAACTGGAATTGGCTTGCCCCTACAGCAGCCCTCACGGTGCTGTGGTTTATGCTGGGAGCTGGCAGGGTGTTGGCAGCACCCTGGTGTTGTGGCTCCTGCTGAGCAGTGCTTACACAGCACCAAGGCTCTTCCTGATATTTCCACCAGTGGGACGGGGTGGGCAAGATCTTGGGAGGGGACACAGCCAGGACAGCTGACCCAAACCGACCAAAGGGATATTCCAGACCATGTGATGTCTGCTCAGGATAAAGCTGGGAGAAAGGAGGAAGGGTGTGGGGTCACCCTTGGTCCTACGAGGCAACCACTACACGTATCAGAGCCCTGCTCCTGAGAAGGCCCGACATCACCTGTCCATGGGAAGTAGAGAATTAATCTCTTTACTTTTGCTTCCGTGCGTGGACTTTTGCTTCGCTTTGCTTATATTAAAACTGTTTTGTTTCACCCACAAGGGTTAGTTTATCTCCTTTCCCCTCTTTACCCTGTTGAGAAACAAGGGGAAAGGGGGGGGGAGGGGAGTGATAGAGTGACTTGGTGGATACCTGGCATTTAGCCACAGTCAAAGAATCACAGTCTATTCTGGTGGCCAACATGGGGCAAAACCCAGCAGTTTTACATTAAATGTGCTGTAGCTATAGTAGTTATTAAGCAACAAGCTCTTTTGCTGGTCACAGGCTTCTTTATTATGCTGCTTATCTTTATTTCACTAAGCTCGGGAACATGCTGCAAGGAATCAGGAACATCATGAGTGGTTTTATTTTGCAGGTTCCCGAGGTACTTATTCATCCTTATGTTAGCTCATTGATACTCTTTATTAATGCTGTTCACCTATTGTGGGTTCTGTGGAGCTCGGTATGCTTTTGGTGTAAGAGAAGGCAAATTTTGAGTGAATAGGTGCCAAAATGTGCTCTGAGGCGGCCTGTTCCTGGGTGTCAGGGAGAGTGAAGGAATTGGGCAGATTCCTAGGACAGTTATCACCTCCTGTAGCCTGGGATCTCACCCCTGAACAGGCAAGCAACCCCACAAAATTGACACATCACCTGATAGAGGGGTGCCTTGCCTATCCTAATGAGAACCAGCAACTTCCAGCACTTTACTGGGGCCTGGCCTGTGCTTACCGAGTTGCAGTTCAGCACTCTCAAGGACTGTGGTTGACATGGGAACTCAATAACAGCAACAGAGATTGCCCCAGTAGTAAAAAAGAAACAATGGACAAGGAGAGCAACAGGCCCATACCCTCGATTAATAAGGGAGGAGAAAGAAGAGGAAGATGCTTGTCCTTCAGCCAAGGTATCGGAAGAGGGAATAACAGAACTGAAACAGGAGGCAGAAACTACCTGGTCCCTGATGTCATCAGAACTGAGAGATCTGCAGAAAGACTACAGCCACCAGCCGGGTGAGTGGATCGCTGCCTGGCTGCTGCGATGATGGGATAATGGGGCAGATGCTAAGCAACTGGAAGGTAAGGAAGCCCAACATCTGGGTTCCCTTGCTAGAAATCGAGGAATAGAAAAGGCAATTGGAAAAGAGACAGTGATTTGCAGTCTGTGGAGACGGCTCCTTTCAAGTGTTAAAGCAAGGTATCCTTTGAAGGAAGATCTTATGGACAACTCCCCAGGGAAGTGGACTACTGCAGATGAAGGTGTCCAGTACCTGAGAGAATTAGCAGTGATGGAAGTCATCTATGGTAATCCAGATAATGATGAAGCCCCTAAAAATCCAGAGGATGTCCCATGCACATGGGCCATGTGGAAGAAGGTGATTAAAGGTGCGCCATCCTTGTATTCTGCCGGCTTGGCCACGATGTACTACCCAGAAATGGATGCAGGAGAAGGACTAAGATGTACACCAACTGTGGAGGCAGTCTCTTCCTGGCTTCAGAACTTTGAAGAGAGTCTTGGTAACTCCTCATCTCTACGGGCGAGTGCCCTGGATGTTAGGAGCTCCCCAAGAAATCATTTCTCTTCTGTCCCAGTCAGGGGGAAAGGGAAGCCAATGCACATGACACGTGGCGAACTCTGGTTCTTCCTGCGTGACCAGGGGGAGGACATGAGGAAGTGGGATGGTCAACCCACCTTTAATTTGGAAGCATGTGTACATGAATGGCGAGGAAAGACCCCTGCCAAGAAGAAGATATCCAAGAAGGACGTTAATGTCGCTGGTGTGAAACCACAAGAAAATAACCAGCGATCTCCCAGATACAGGAAGACTGAGATCACCTCCATTGACCCTGATGAAGGAATCTGCAGTCTGGCATGGCAAGGGTCAGACAGTGAATACTCTGACCAAGAACGGGAATAGAGGGCCCCTGCCTCCAGCCAGGAGGAGGAAAGGGATGATTGGGTGTATTGGACAGTGGATTTGATGGCCTGGCACATCAAATCCGCAGAAGTACCAGACTTTAATTGACACTGGGGCACAGTGTACACTAATGCCATCAAGTTACAGAGGGGCAGAACCTATCTGGATCTCAGGAGTGACAGGGGGCTGTCAAGAACTATCAGTATTGGAGGCCGAGGTTAGCTTGACTGGGGACAAGTGGGAAAAACATCCCATTGTAACTGGCCCAGAAGCCCCTTGTATCTTGGGCATTGACTATCTCAAGAGGGGGTACTTCAAAGACCCAAAAGGATACCGATGGGCTTTTGGTGTGGCCAGTGTGATTACAGAAAAGGTAAAACAGTTGTCTAATCTGCCTGGCCTCTCAGAAGATCCTTTTGTTGTGGGACTGTTGCAAGTTGAAGAACAACAGGTGCCAATTGCTATGAGGACCGTGCACAGACGGCAGTATCGTACAAACCGAGACTCTCTGGCTCCCATCCAAGAATTGATTCGTAAACTGGAGAATCAAGGTGTCATCAGTAAGACACACTCACCTTTTAACAGCCCAATATGGCCGGTGCGAAAGTCTGACGGAGGGTGGAGGTTAACAGTAGATTATCGTGGCCTGAATGAAGTGACGCCACCACTGAGTGCGGCTGTACCAGATATGTTAGAGCTCCAATATGAACTGGAGTCAAAGGCAGCCAAGTGGTGTGCAACAATCGACATTGCCAATGCATTCTTTTCAATTCCTTTGGCAGAAGAGTGCAGGCCACAGTTTGCTTTCACGTTGAGGGGTGTCCAGTATACCTGGAATCGACTGAACCAGGGGTGGAAGCACAGCCCCACTATTTGTCATGGACTAATTCAAACTGCACTGGAAAAGGGTGATGCCCCTGAACATCTACAATACATCGATGAAATCATTGTGTGGGGCAATGAGGCAGAAGTGTTCAAGAGAGCACAAAATGTAATTGAGAATCTTCTGAGAGCTAGGTTTGCCATAAAGAAAAGCAAGGTCAAGGGACCAGCACAAGAAATTAAGTTCTTGGGAATAAAATGGAAAGATGGATGCGGTCATGTGCCATTGGATGTTGTTAACATGATAGCAGTTATGTCTCCACCGACCAACAAGAAGGAAACACAATCTTTCTTAGGACTTGTGGGATTCTGCAGGATGCATATTCCAGGTTACAGTCAGCTTGTGAGCCCTCTCTATCAACTAACACAAAAGAAGAACAATTTTGAGTGGGGTCCTGAGCAACAAGCCTTTGAGCACATCAAACAGGAGATAGCTCGGGCAGTAGCTCTTGGGCCTGTTTGGACAGGAGCAGCTGTGCAAACTGTACTTTACACATCAACTGGGGAGCATGGACTCACATGGAGCCTCTGGCAGAAGATACCAGGTGAAACTCAAGGTCGACCATTAGGATTTTGGTGCCGGGGATATCGAGGATCAGAAGCCCACTACACTCCAACTGAAAAGGAGATACTAGCAGCATATGAGGGGAATCGAGTTGCTTCAGAAGTTGTTGGTACAGAAGCACAGCTCCTCTTGGCACCACGGTTGCCTGTATTACATTCAATGTTCAAAGGAAACATCCCTCCCACACACCATGCAACCAGCGCTACCTGGAGTAAATGGTTAGTGTTAATCACCCAGTGGGCTCGACTGGGGAAACCCAACCATCCAGGGATCCTGGAAGAGATCATGGAATGGCCAGAAGGTAGAGATTTTGGAGCGTTGCCTGAGGAGGTGGTTCGTGCCCAAGAGGCACCAACATATAACAAGTTACCAGAAGATGAAAGGCGTTATTATCTGTTTATTGGTGGATCCTGTCGTGTGGTAGGAAGCCATCAGAAGTGAAAAGCTGCTGTGTGGAGTCCCACAAGACAAATCGTTGAGGCCACTGGAGGAGAAGGAGAGTCAAGTCAGTTTGCAGAAGTAAAAGCAATCCAACTAGTCCTAAAGATTGCTGAACGGGAGAAGTGGCCAGTACTGTATCTCTACACAGACTCCTGGATGGTGGCTAATGCCCTGTGGGGGTGGCTACAGGAGTGGAAGAAGACCAATTGACAGCGCAGAGGTAAACCCATCTGGGCTGCTGCATTGTGGCAGAACATCGCTGCCCGAGTGGAAAACATGGCTCTAAAAGTATGCTATGTAGATGCTCATGTGCCCAAAAGGCGTGCCACCAAAGAACATCAAAACAATGAGCAAGCAGACAAAGCTGCCAAAATTGAAGTAGCTCAGCTGGACCTGGACTGGGAGCGTAAGGGTGAGCTGTTTGTAGCTAGATGGACCCATGAAACACCAGGGCATCTTGGCAGAGATGCAACGTACAGATGGGCTCGTGATCAAGGGGTGGACCTGACCATGGAGGCCATCTCACAGGTCACTCATGAATGTGAAACGTGCTGCAATCAAGTGAGCCACACGAGTAAAGTCTCCCTGGAACAGAGGACGATGGCTGAGTTTTCAATATGGTGAGGCCTGGCAGATTGACTGTATTGGACCACTGCCACGAACACGCCAAGGCAAGCGCTACATACTCACCATGGTGGAAGCAACTACAGGTTGGCTTGAAACATACCCTGTAAATCATGCCACTGCCCGAAATACTATCTTGGGTCTTGAAAGGCAAATTTTATGGCGGCATGGTACTCCTGAAAGAATCGAATCAGAGAACGGGACCCATTTTTGAAATAATCTTATAAACTCCTGGGTAAAGAAACATGGCATTGAATGGTTGTATCACATCCCTTATCACCCACAAGCCTCTGGAAAGATTGAAAGATATAATGGACTGCTGAAGACTATGTTGAGAGCATTGGACAATGGGGGATGGAAGCACTGGGATATAAATTTAGCAGAAGCCACTTGGCTAATTAGCACCAGAGGATCTTTTAACTGACCTGGTGATGCCCAAACAAACCCCCTTCATACTGTTGGAGGAGATAAAGTTCCCATAGTACACACAGGGAAATGGCTGGGGAAGGCAGTGTGGATTGCTCCTTCCTTGGGAAAAGGCAAGCCCACTCGTGGGATTGTCTTTGCTCAGGGACCTGGCTGTACTTGGTGGGTAATGCGGGAGGATGGGACTACTCAGTGTGTGCCTCAAGGACATTTAACCTTGGGGGGAAAGTAATCTGTGGGGTGAGTTTTATGTTGCAGGAAGTGATGGAGGAAGTAGGAACGACAAAGAGTGAACCAGATATGTGCAATGACAACCCAAACCTAGCCCATGCTGGAGTCCAATAGTCAAACATACTTCTGTCCTGAACATCTATCTTGACAGATGGAAGCCAAGTCACTGAACATCTGGAGGAGTGAAGAAAGCTTATGGAATGGATAAATGAATATTATGTGGGACCTGGGCATAACATAAATGGTATGGAATAAGCGGTGGAGACTGTACTGGGTCTGGCTGAACTGGAATTGGCTTTCCCCTACAGCAGCCCTCACGGTGCTGTGGTTTATGCTGGGAGCTGTCAGGGTGTTGGCAGCACCCTGGTGTTGTGGCTACTGCTGAGCAGTGCTTACACAGCACCAAGGCTCTTCCTGATATTTCCACCAGTGGGACGGGGTGGGCAAGATCTTGGGAGGGGACACAGCCAGGACAGCTGACCCAAACTGACCAAAGGGATATTCCATACCATATGACGTCTGCTCAGGATAAAGCTGGGAGAAAGGAGGAAGGGTGTGGGGTCACCCTTGGTCCTACAAGGCAACCACTACACGTATTGGAGCCCTGCTTCCCGAGAAGGCCCGACATCGCCTGTCCATGGGAAGTAGAGAATAAATCTGTTTGCTTTTTCTTCCGCGCACGGACTTTTGCTTCGCTTTGCTTATATTAAAACTGCTTTTGTTTCACCCACGGGGGTTAGTTTATCTTCTTTCACCTCTTTACCCTATTGATAAAACAAGAGGAAAGGAGGGGTGGGGGGAAGTAATAGATTGACTTGGTAAGTCAAGTAATAGAGTGACTTGGTGGATATCTGGCATTTAGCCAGAGTCAAAGCATCACAGGGTTCTCACTGACAAGCAGCTGAACATGAGCCAGCAGTGTGCCCTGGTGGCCAAGAATGCCAACGGCATCCTGGCTTATGTCAGATATAGTGCGACCAGCAGAAGCAGAGAGGTGACAATCCCCCTGTGCTCTGCACTGGTGAGGCCACTCCTGAAGTGTTGTGTCCAGTTTTGGGCACCTCAATACAAGAGAGATCTCGAGGTGCTGGAGCGAGTGCAGAGGAGGGCAATGAAGATGGTGAAGGGCCTGGAGACCAAATCCTATGAGGAGAGATTGAAGGAGCTGGGACTGTTTAGCTTGAGGAGGAGAAGGCTGAGGGGAGACCTCATCACTCTCTACAGCTACCTGAAAGGACATTGGAGAGAGGTTGGTGCTGGTCTCTTCTCAGAAGTAATTTGTAACAGAACACGAGGGAATGGCTTTAAACTGCAATAGGGGAGGTGCAGACTGGATATAAGGAAAAAATTTTCACAGAAAGAGTGGTCAGACAGTGGAATAGGCTGCCCAGGAAGGTGGTGGAGTCACCATCTCTGATGTGTTTAAGGATCATTTAAATGAGATGCTGGGGGATATGGTGTAGGGGAGAACTTTGTAAAGTAGGCCTGATGGTTGGACTGGATGATCCCAAGGGTCTCTTCTAACCTGAATGATTCTGTGAGATGTGCACATACCTGCAGGGCTACAATCTCACTGGCATTGCAGAGACATAGTGAGGTGACTCATGGCTGGAGTGTTGTGATCAAAAGATACAGGCTCTTTAGGAAGGACAGAGAGGGGATACAAGTAAGAGGTGGTCACTCTGTATGTCAATGACCAACTGGAGTGCATGGAGCTCTGCCTTGGGATGGATGAGATACTGACCAAGAGTTTATTGGTCAGTATTAAAAGGAGGGCAGGGAAAGATGACATAGTGGAGGTCTGCTACAAGCCACCTGAACAACAAGATGGAGTGGATGAGGCCTTCTATAGACAAATAGGAGCACCCTCACATTCATAAGCCTGATCCTCATGGAGAACTTCAGCCACTCTGATATCTGTTGGAGGGACAACACAGCAGGGCATAAGCAGCTCAGGAGGTTCGTACAATGTGTTTATGAAAACTTCTTTCTCGAGGTGATAGAGGAGCCAACAAGGAGGGGCTGTTGGGGAATGTGACGCTCAAGGGCAGCCTTGACTGCATGAAATAGTGGAGTTCAAGATCCTCAGGGCAGCAAGGAGAACACACAGCAAGCTCATTACCCTGGACTTCAGGAGAGCAGACTTTTCAGGGATCTGCTTGATAGAGTACCATGGGCTAAAGCCCTGGAGGAAAGAGGAGCCCAGTAAAACTCAAGGATCACCTTCTCCAAGCTCAGAAGTGATGCATCCCAATAAGGCAGAAGTCGTACAGAAATAAAGGAGGTCTACATCAATGAACAAGTTGTTCCTGGACAAAATCAAACACAAAAAGGAAGTCTACAGAGGGTGGAAGCAAGGACATATAGCCTGGGAGGAATACAGAGAAATTGTTCAAACAACCAGGGATCAGGTTAGGAAAGCTAAAATCCTAATAAAACTAAATCTGGCCAGGGACAGAAAGAGCAACAAGAAAAACTTCTACAAGTACGTCAGTGATAAAGGAAAACTAAGGAACATGTGGGCCCTCTCCACAAGGAAACGTGAGACCTGATTACCTAGGCTGTTGAGATGGCTGAGGTACTCGCCAACTTCTTTGCTTCACTCTTTGCCAGCAAGTGCTCCAGCCACACCGTGAAAGGGACAGAAGGCAAAGCTGGGGACTGGGAGAATGAAGAATTGCCCAATGTAGGAGATGAGGATGAAGACCAACTAAGGAACCTGAAGGTGTACAGGTCCATGGGGCCTGATGAGATACACCCACAGGTTCTGAGGGAACTGGTAGATGAAGTGACTAAGACATCCATCATATTTGAGAAGTCATGGCAGTCCAAAGAAGTTCCTGCTGACTGGAAAATGGGAAATATAACCCATTTTTTAAAAGGAAAAAAAGGAACACCTGGAGAACTACAGACCAATCAGCAAGATCATGGAGCAGATTTTCCTGGAAACTATGCCAGGCCATATGGAAACAAAGGAGGTGATTGATGACAGCCAACATAGCTTCACTAAGGAAAAATCATGCCTGACAAATTTGGTGGCCTTCTACGACCAGGTTACGGCATTGATAGATAGGGAAAAGCAACAGACGTCATCTACCTTGACTTGTGCAAAGCATTTGATACTGTCACTTATCTCTAAACTGGAGAGACATGGATTTGATGGAAGCACTGCTCACTGAATAAGGGATTGGCTGGATGGTTGCACTGAAGGACTTACACTCAACAGCTCTATGTCTGAGTACACAGCGGTGATGAATGGCATTCATCAGGAGTCAGTACTGGGACCAATGCTGTTTAACATCTTTGTCAGTGACACGGATAGTGGATTGAGTGCACCCTCAGCAAGTTCACTGATGACACCAAGATGTGTGGTGTGGTGGACATGCTGGAGGGAAGGGATGCCATTCATAGGGACCTTGACAAGCTTGACAGATGGACCCATGCAACACTCAAGAAGTTCAACAAGGCCAAGTGCAAGGTCCTGCACATGGTTTGAGGCATTCCCATGTACAAATACAGGCTGGGTGATGAGAGGGTTGAGACTAGTCCTGTAGAGATGGACTTGAGGGTGTTGGTTGCCAGGAAGCTCAACATGACCTGGAAATGCATATTTGCAGCCCAGAAAGCCAACTGTATCCTGGGCTGCATCAAGAGAAGTAGGAGGTGATTCTTCCCCTACTCTCTGCTCTTGTGAGACCCCACCTGGAGTAATGTGTCCAGCTCTGGGGCCGTCAAGATAAAAAAGACTTGCAACTCTTGGAGCAAGTCCAGAGGAGGGCCATGATCAGACGACTGGAGCATCTCTCCTATGAAGACAGGCTGAGAGCATCGAGGTTGTTCAGCCTGGAGAAGAGAAGGACACCTTATAGCAGCCTTCCAGTACCTAAAGGAGGCCTATAGGAAAGATGAGGAGAGACTTTTTACAAGAACATGTAGTGACAGGACAAAGAGTAATGGTGTTAAAATGAAAGAGGGCATATTTAGATTGGATACAAGGAAGAAATTATTCACTATGAGGGTGGTGAGACACTGGAACATGTTGCCCAGAGAAGCTGCAGATGTCCCATCCTGGGAAATATTCAAGGCCAGGTTAGATGAGGCTTTGAATAACCTGACCTAATAGAAGGTGTCCCCACCCATGTTAGGGGAGTTGTAACAAAGTAATATTTAAGGTCGCTTCCAACCCAAACAATTCTGTGATTCCATTATATAATTTATTTGTAAAATTTTCTATTTGAAATATATCAGGGTACCTCACAGGTGGTAGCTTTCAAGACATGTTACAGTAGACACCTGCCCAGTATCTGGGGAATGCCTGCCCTGTGCTGGAGATTAGGAACAAATAGTTGTGAAACCTGCATGTAGGCTCTTTAACTTGTAAGAAAAACATTCTCAGCCTGTGTATAGCATTCTGACTCTCACCCAGATATCAGAAAAGGCTTTGCCTAAGCAACAGAAAAATTGTTTCAATTATGTTTCTTTCCTAGACCGAAAATTTTGAAATAATTTGTTTGAGCAAAGCACAAAATGCTAAGATCCTAAATATCACTTAACTACTTAATTAAATACGACTTACAAACTTCCTATTGGGGAGCCACATTAGTTAGGTCCTCAACACTTCTGAATTAGTTTAGTTTGTCCTATATGAGAAATACGAGTAATACCAAAGGAATCTGGTAACTTTTATTGATTTTATCTTTCACAGACCTATGGATATTAACTGTAGTTAATTATTTCATTCCAATAATAATATTTGCTCCCTTGAGATTAATTTATAAGCAGGTGCTCTGATTTCACTGGTTTCTATTGAAAAACTCTAGTGAAGGCAGAGTCAGAACTACATATTGTCATATGTATTAAGTATATGTAGAAAAATTTTGGTTAGTGTAGTTGGAATATTCATAATATTGGGCTCAGAATATTTATACTGAATGTCTGCCCCTTTCTCATAGAGTTTTAAGGAAAGTTTATGTCTATTAAAATACTGCCTGTTCTGTTGTTAGCAGTGTCATTTTATGCTACTGAACTTTCTTGATGACTAAGTGTTCCTTATATATCAAAAATACAAGGTAAGAGTATTTGCCTCTTTAGACTTTTAGTGGAAGTCTATAACATGTTTATTTAGAAGGCTTCTGGTGAGTCCTGTACCCAGGTACATTACTCTTTTTCACCCATGGACCTCTTTGACCTTTTCCTGTCCCCTTAGTTTATGAATAAATAATCCGTGCATTCATATTTCTCACTTGTCAAACTCAGGCAGCAGTGAAAATAAGCAGCACAAATTGGTAGATAATGCACCTTATTTCCATGTAGAAGCAGGTGCATTTTCTTCAGCATAAGTGGCAAGATGACACTGATCCACTTTGACAGGCAGGCTGATCTAAAATTACTCAGCACACTTTGCTACTGGTTGGGGAAGAGTTTCCCATGAGCTTGTTCTGAAATTTTTCGGTCCCCAGGGTGTTAATTAAAATTTACTGGATAATATTTGCAAGGCTCAATGGTTCTAGTTACAGCAATTATCAGTTACTAAATGTTAGTGCCAGAGATGACACCTGATGATTGGATGCTTTATTCAACAGGATTTCCTTTTCCCCTGCCTTTTTTTTTTTTTCCCAAATATTTCCTTCAGTTCT